ACACAATTGCTCCACATAAATTACCACAGGCACCATAAGGGGGCTCACACAATTTTATGAGCTCAGAAGTACCATTGTGCAGTACAGGATATATTGAAGTGATTAGTGTTTAGTATGAACATTATAGACAACTTAATGTGTACAGTTTAAGCGTACCGTCGCTAAAATAGATGTTACTTTAACCCACAACGGGGTTGTCGTGCGTTTTGCAAAGAGAATGCTTCGATTATCAGAGTCCGCATCAAAAACGCAAAGATGATGTGTTCGTGCTATCCTACTAAGAATGGAACTGAGAGTGTCTAGGACGACTTACACTGTTAGCTTGCTCTATTGTATGCACATCTGTTTAGAAATAATTTTTTAATTAGACTGACACGAAATATGTATCAACAGCGAAAAGTTACAGTATGGATATCAAATGCATAAGTGATTTCTTATTTGTCTGTGTGACACAGCATGCTGGTTCCTGCTCGGATATCTGCACTCGTGTTGAGACTGACGTGTCTCTGTCACCAGAATAGGGTGGCATACACTTGTCCCTTATACCGGATACTTTCCACGAAAGTTGAAATTCCAGCTTTCGAAGCGGGCGTATGCCAGTCACCTCTACTGGATACTTTCCTAAAAACAACTCAAACTCCAATCTTGTATCAGTTGAATCTGAGGTTTAACCTCAGTACACCCTTGATTTATGAATCAGACACCCAGGTTTTATCATTAGAACATGTAGAAGCCCTTGGGGTGTTTTGCATGTAGCTAGGATCATAACTCATTTTAGTTGAGTTGCAAATTTAGCTTCAAGGTTAAGTCATTCTCTTCCTGTCAAGTCGGGACTGTCCTTATCCTTCCGCGTCTAGAATCGCTTTCTCGTTGCACAAGCGTGTGTGTTGTGTTTGAGGGACCGTTTGTGAACAGCGCCCTCTTACACCTGGTAACACTTCGAGTGTTTTTTCAACTACACTCGTTTTTGGTTTGACGACGCGGCTGTTGAGCACGTCGCGCATATCAGTCCAAGCCAAGGGGGTTTCATGTGCCCTACTATGAAGTGTGTTGATAACACAAAATGGTGTGACCACACAATTACGTGGCTACACTTAAACAAAAAGTCAGTACGTGCCAGCAATTATACATTTAATTAGTTTTCTATATATTAGTGAAAACCTATAGATTTGGATAATCTATGGCTTTGCCGCAAATGAAATCGAGATATACCGTTTACTTTTAAGCGAAGGATTTAATCTGCCTTGGATTTAGGTTGTATTTACTATTGGAGTAAGCGATCCGCTACACTCGTACTGGTTCTAAGTGTAGAACGAAGGTCACCGACCTAAACCGAGCTTTCTCTAAGCGAAAGAGCTACGGCAGCCCCGCTGGACTTGTAGTCAATCTACATCTGAGTCGTTACGACTGACCCTATGTGAGGATGGAGCAGTTTTTTATTTGTTCAAGAGCATACAGAACAGGCTCAAAAAGCTGATGTCTCTGCTTGGCCACGAGGGCGTGCTACACCTAGCTTTGCAAAGACCTGGACCGATCAGCGCGCTCCTAGAGTCGTTTCCAAGCTATAAAAATGCTCTGCTAAAGTACCAACAGCAGAAGATGGCGGCGTCGACTGCGTCCATGACGACACCATCGGCGACGGATAATTCCTCCCGACCCAGGCCGCTTATGGTGAGCGTTAAGACACGAGGGTGAGGATAAAGAGAATTTCCTGCTCTGGGTGAGAGGCCGAGATAGCTATGGCATCCGCCATGCTCCAGAACGAGCAACACCTCGTGGTGTCTAGCTATCTACCAAGCTCGGGGGCCGAACGCGAGCATGGGCACTTACGCGCGGTACTTCGATTGAAGCGGCGTTCCTATACTGAACGGAGCTGAAGCAGCAGCTTTTTCGAGTGTTCTCGCCGCCTAACCTGCCATATCGCATGCGATCGCGTTTTCTTGCCGCCCCACAGGGCAAGAAGGAATTTATTGACTTTGGCCATGCGTTGCGCACTCTCATTAACGGTATGGCAGCCGATCCTGTCCCCGAAGCGTGAATAGTAACCGTCTTTATGGAGAGCCTTCGAACTGGTGCGGCCAGAATGGAAGTTTCCGTATGCACCTGTCTTCTTTTGAAGAAGCAGAGAATGTGGCATTGAATGCCGAATTCAACTTTAAATCGGCACGCCTTGGTTAGAATGCACACTCTAGCAACTCGTCGAGCGGACAGATCTCAGCTATGTTGAGAAAGAGAAGACACCCGGTGCGTCGGGGCCCACGGGGGAAGAACTGAGTTCTGTTGAGCTTCAAAGGGTAGAGGGACGCAGGGCCCAGCTTCGAAGAGCTCTGTGCTCTTGAACACGGAACGTGTATGCAAGCCGGGCTTGCTGGTCGTCTTTGAGAAGCCATGGGTGATCCTTATCGATTTCAGGCGTCGGAAAACTATGCTCGACGCTCTAAGATTGAGGGAAGTCAGCTGTATGCTGAGGCGCAGAAAGCGCGGTTGAGTGTCACCGTCACTGTTTGCTTAGCGGCGGGGGTTT